AAAACATTCCCTTCTTGATGCAGGATAGGATTCTACTAGCTTTGCTTACAGCAACCTGGCATCCTGGCACTGTAATCTATTATTCAGTTTATGGTCTACAATGACCCCCAAATCTTTCTCCATTTCCAACTTCCCTAGCGGCATACCCATAATTGTATAACCCATTTGCCTATTTTTAATCCCAAAGTGCATAACTTTGCATTTTTCGACATTAAACCTCATCTGCCACATAGTTGCCCACTCCCCTATTTTATCCAGGTCCTCCTGCAATGTTATACTATCTTCGTCTGTTTCTATTACCCTCCCAATTTTGGTATCGTCAGCAAACACTGAGATATCGTTGTTTACTCCGTCCCCGATGTCTCTGCTGATACAGGTGGGGAGAGCAGTGGGGATCAAAGGGGACACAGACCGCAGCATGAGAATAGGGGGTAGCAGAGCTGGAGGAATTGGACACTAGCGAACAAAAAAAGCCATTGATCAAATAAGGTATAACCCCCCCCCTACTCTCATGATGGTTACGTTTTGTGGAAAAAAGTAGTAGGGGTAGATCATAAACACGGAGAGGTGGGGCTTGTGTTCTTTGATGAACTCCATAAAAAAGATTATACAATGAGTATAAAAATCCTGCTTTCCTAATCAAGGGACACAGGATCAGTAGAATTCCAAACAGTCTAACTGAGGGAAGGGCACCGCAGCAACTACAATTCTAACAGCCCATAAAAAACAATAAAAGTGGAAAAAACACTGGGGGTAGCTTGAAAGACCTTACGCCCAAAGCTCAAATCTTTAGATGCCTTGCAGAACACCTGAATGGAAGGTGGCAGCCTTGCAAATCTGGAAGAAGCTTGATGCCAAAAAGCCTGGAAAGCATTTACAGATCTGGTGGAATGTGTCTGGAAAAGGTTGTACCTTAATCTTAAAGTACAGCAGATTGTCATTTACAGGGTCCCTTGTGGTTGACAAAGAGAGAGTCTTAGGCAAGACATAGCTGCAAGGTAGACCCAAACAGCTCTAATCACATCCAAGTGATGAAAAGACAACTCCTCTGGATGAACTGAGCAAGATAGAGGAGTAAAAGAAAAATGTTCTGGGTAAAGTGGAAGGCAGAGGCCACCTTAGGAAAAAGAATGAGGACAACCTTGTCCTTGTGCAGAAGTACATAATAAAAATGGCCTGGATGGGAAGGGGGTGTAACACCGCGGATGTCAACTGGTTAAGACACAAATTCTAGTTTGGACACTCAAACAGAGGTGATGGTAATGAGGGAGGCCACCTTTTAAGTGAGAGGTAACCGTAGAATACTGTATCTCCTATCTCTTTTTCATGAAATATCTACTAATTGATAATGTATTACCTCAACCACTCCACCCAAAATTACTTTTATTTCTATTTAGTCAAGTTGAATCTGAAGCTGTTTCTTTTTATATCTCTCAGGGACTCCAGTTGTGAGATATTCCCACCATAATACTCCAGTTCTTTGTGCCATTTAACCCCTTCATGACTGAGGCCTTTTTTTCATTTTTTGTACCCATGTTATATTCCACATTTTAGGCCTGAAAATTACTTAAAACCCCCCAACATTATATATTTTCTGAATGCCAAGACCCTATAGAATAAAATGGTGGTAGTTGCAGATTTTTATGTTGCGCAATATTAGCTCAACTCCTTATTAAACCCCAATATTTAGTGAAACATTTAATTGAATGCCCCAAAACACAACAAAAACCCATTTTTTAAATGAAATATAAAAGATGAGGTTACAACGAGTAAAACGATACCCAACATGCCCAGGTTACAAATTGCGTACATCCGTAAAACAGCGAAGAACCCCAGTACCCCAAAAAGTCCATAGAAGACGCTTTAAAAGCCCCCACAGGTCATCAATTTAGAGATACCCCAAAATACTGGCCCTAGAATTATTGCTCTCACTCCGGCGTGCGCGGCGATACCCAACATGTGTAGCGCGTTCGTCGTTTTCATACGTAGGCGCACCCGACGCGTGTTTACGTGGCGACGCGCGTGCTCGCGGGGGCGGGGGACTTTTAAATTTTTTTTTATTATTATTAGATTTATTTTATTTAAATTTAATTTTAAAAACTGTTTTTTTTTTTTTTTTTTTTTACTTTGACTGCTATCACATGGGGGGGCTTGCAAGCCCCCCCATGTGATAGCAGATGGTGGTGACAGGTACTCTTTAAGGTGATGCTGGGGGTCCAAAAGACCCCCAGTGTCACCTTTACACTGGAAATAAGCTATTGAAGTGCAGATCGCACTTCAATAGCTTATAGCTGGGCTGCAGGAGCCCAGAACTGACAGCCCAGGGACCGGAAGTGATGCAATCTGCATCGCTCCCGGTCCCATAGAACGGGGAGGGGATCGATGAACGGAAGTTCGTCGACCTCCTCCCCAGCTCCCCGCGGACACAAAGATCGCCGGTCCCGGGCCCGTAGGAGGGGCAACGGAGCCCGGGAAGCACGGCGGGGGTGTCCGGCGGGGGGGGCGGCCCCTTCTTCGGGACGCAGAAGCAATCTGGCGACAGGTAAGTCGCCAGGATTGCTTCTGTTGTAAAGCCGACAGTCGGCTCTACAAGTTTAAACAGAGTCCCGGCGGCAAAAGTCACCGGGAGTCTGTTTAAACAGCCCCGATGCTGGCGACGTACACTGTACGTCGTCAGTCACGAAGGGGTTAATAACCCAATGTTCATCATTTTACCGCTGTATTATATAATAAATATAAGTGGGCAGTCCAGCTGGAAGAAAGTGGCACCATAGTTAAGGCCTGGTGGGAGGAGACAGGAAGGAAGTCTCTGACATCTCTGGCATGTTTCCATAGACCTCAACCCCATCATTACACTTTCCGAGGAAACATATTTTACAGATTCTACGGGAAAGAAATACAACCCCATTTCCAAAAAAGTTGGGACGCTTTGTAAAATCTACATAAAAACAGAATACAGTGACTTGAAAATCTCATACTCAGAACCAGAGTTCTTGCTGCACTCCTTACCGGAAGGAACCCGTATGGGTGGGTGTGTGGGTGCTCGTAGTGACAACGGACGGCACGTGCATACCACAAATGAAGAAATAATGTCACCAGCACACCATACCGTAGTAGTAAAGCAATAGTCCATTTAATGACACATTGCCATTCGATGCATCGAATGGCAATGTGTCATTAAATGGACTATTGCTTTACTACTACGGTATGGTGTGCTGGTGACATTATTTCTTCATTTGCAAATCTCATAAACCCATATTTTATTCACAATGGAAATAGAAAACATATCTAATGTTTAAACAGAAAAAATTTACCATTTAAAAAAAAAAGCTGGAAGAACATTTTGCAACTATTTAGGTTAATTGGCAACAAGTCAGAAAAATGATTGGGTATAAAAAGAGCATCTTAAAGAAGTCAGAGTGTCTCAGAAGTAAAGATGGGCAGATGTTCACCAATCTGTGAAAAGCAGTTTCAGAATAATGTTCCTCAATGTAAAATTACAAAGACATTAAATATATCACTATCCACAGTACATAATATGATCAAAAGATTTCGACAAAATGGAGAAATCTCTGTGCGCAAGGGCCAAGGCTGAAACGCAATATTGGACGACTGTGATCTTCGGGTCCTCAGATGGCCCTGCCGTCTTCTCTGGGTCAAAGCTCATTTAAAATGGTCTGTTGCAAAGTGGAAAACTCTTATGTGGTCAGTCGAATCAATATTTGACATTCTTTTTGGCAACCATTGGTGCCGCGTCCGCCGGGCTAAATAGGAGAGGGACCTTCCAGCATGCTCTCAGTGCTCACTTCAAAAGCCTGCATCTCTGATGGTATAAAGGTGCATTAGTGTGTATGGAATGGGCAGCTTGCTTATCTAGAAAGGCCCCATCTATGCTGAAAGATATATCCAGACAACATCTTTTTCAGGGAAGGCCTAACATATTTCAGCAGCACAATGCTAAACCACATACTGCATGTTTGACAACAGCATGGCTTCATAGTAGAAGAGTGCGGGTGCTTGCAGTCCAGACCTTTCAACAATGACTTAGCTAAATACTTAGCACATCTTGAAACAAAAAATACAACAAAGAAGACCCAGGACGGTTGAGCAGTTAGAATCCTATATCAGACAAGAATGGGACAACATTTCTCTCTTAAAACTCCAGCAACTGGTCTCCTCAGTTCCCATTCATTTACAGATTGTTGTTAAAAAAGAGGGTATGCTACACTGTGGTAAACATGGCCCTGTCCCAACTTTTTTGAGATGTGTTGCTGCCATCAATCTCAAAATTACCTTATTTTTATCTTAAAATGGTACATTTTCTTAGTTTAAACATTTGATATGTTTTCTATCTTCTATTGTGAATACAATCTGGGTTTATGAGATTTACAAATCATTGCATTCTGTTTTTATTAAGGTTTTACACAGCGTCTCAACTTTTTTGGAATTGGGGTTGTATATTTTCAGGTTTCCCAGCTACTACATATAAGAACATTTACATACTTTACATTGCTGTGAATGGAGTAAGATGTCATGGTGGTGGCTAGACCAGGGAACCAGAGCTACTAGGTGGTAATTCAACTCACCGCTATTCACATCAAGCTTACATACATTTGTGATAGACTGACAATTTAATTAAATTATTTTTTCCGTAGTTCAGAAGCTGTAATTCTAATGCAGCTCTTTAGCCTTGGGAAATTGTAGCATCTGCAGGTATTGACCACATATGTTGTCTTGTTCATTGCAAGGTTCCCCAAGGACAGAGAGGAATTACTTTAATTTGCGGACACACACTGTGGTGAGCAGTCTGCTATTAATGTGCCCTTGCAACACAAAAATATATCTCTAAAAGCATGGCTCATGTCACATAAAGCACACATTGTGCATCGCTTACATAAGATACATCCAACACATTCATTGCTCTCTGCAGGTCTACCCAGCTCCCTCTGGTAATAAATTACATCATTCAAAGCATTAAACATCCACTTTCTGATTCATACCCTGATTCCAAGGTAGCGCTTTATCCAGAGATTCAGCATAGGCTTCAAGTCCAATCTCATTCTCTATGTGAACTAATTGTCTGCGAAAATAAAAATAGAAGAGAAGTAAGGAGGGCAATCATTGGAAACAAGTCGTTTAATTTGTTTACACTGCTGAGTGATGTACTTGATTTAGTCATTAAGTGCTCTGTCAGGCTGAACAGCTTTTTGTCTGTCCATATTCAGCGTGTTGACTCAACTGTGGCCATGATGTCTCCCAATATCGCTGTGTCTTCACCAGTCAGACAGGATGACCACACATTGGACATTGCTCTCTATTGTGTCAGCATTTGGGATAGCACAGTTAGAAAAACAGTCTTTCCAGCAATATTCTTGTGCAGCAAATGAAATTTACAACACAAAACATTTGTAAATCTGCTGTAAGCCAGCACAGCCAAAATAAGGATTAAATCCAGCTTTAGGGAATGTGGACAAATACAACATAGTTTGCCAACACATTTGAAAAGTCATATGTTTAGATATTTAAATCATTCTCAGACTCAAGTTACTATGTGTGGAAATTGTCTGTTACATTAACCAGTAATTAATTAAAAAGTCATTGGCAAAAAAACACACTATATTTGATAATATCAGAGAGAAACTTTGTTGTGTTCTCTAATGCTGTAACAGATTTTTTTATTCCGTTGGACCTAAATTCTCCCTTCAACCTGGGCTTGCTCTTGGTGTCAGGCAGAAGTGACTATACAGTGACTGCATTACAAAGATCCATCCATGCCAGTGCTGTGAACAGGAAGAAGCAGGGTGAGGTACTGAGATGTACCTATCCAGCTTAGGTATAAACAGGTATGTATTTTATGACTGTTTGGGGTTGATTTACTAACCTTATAAACACACCACGAACATGTATACACCTCTGTAGTGTGTTCCCTCCCAGCATGATCTATGGGTGGAATCTAAACACCTTTGTAGTGTGTACACACCCAGCAGGTGTGTTGTGCAAAGCCCTGCATGAATTACAAGGTGATGTTGTGTAAATTAGCTCTATGTTGTGTTGCTTGCGTTGATGAATGCAGGAATGTAAATGCATGAGCTAACCATTTTTGTCTAAACTGTGAAGCAGCATTATATATGCATCATGTGCATGATTTTTCCATATATGGCATTAGTGAAAATATGCTTTTAGAGACTTTTTGGTATATGCTTTTAGAGACTTTTTGGTATATGCTTTTAGAGACTTTTTGGTTGATATATACGTTTTGCTGTGTGAAAATCACACGCACCTGGTGCGTGCGTGTGTTTAGGTTAGTAAATCACCCACTTTGTGTTAAGTTCAAGAGAGGGTTTGGAGTACGTGTGATTTTTAAAGTTTGCATGGTTTTAATGAAAAAAAACTCTTTCTCCCCGTGTCTTCACAAAAATAGTAGAAACAAACAGAACTTAAATGCAGGAATCAGTTTTTCACTGTCATGGCCTGGCAACAACCTTGTAACCCTGGCAATCTCCCTCCTTTTTATTACTGTGCAGGATTTCATAGAAAATCATTGTGTGCACATTTACCTGGTCGCTGAAGATTTTTGCAAAATTTGTCCAATCCAGTAGGCTGGCTCCACATTTGAGTGTTGTGAAAATTGAAAATTCTGCAGGCACAACATTATTGCAGAGGTGCTCTGCCAGCCCAACTAAAATAAATGGGCTGCCTCCACATAGTGCCTCAATGCAGAAAAACATGTTGTGTTAATGCACTCACTCACAAATGTGACGGGAACCTACTCTGCTAAGTAAAGGAGGAAGAGAACAAGTTCCAGCACAGGGGCCGCTATCACCGTTAACAAATATTATTGCTGTTCCTGGTGTTCAAACCATCTGCTTGATAATGGGCTGATATCCCTGAGACTAATGTTTCTGGGGAGAAATTCAGCGGTCTGTGGCAGCCCCAACATATAGGTTCTTCAGGTAGTTTGAATACTCATGTTGTACATGCTGTACAGTTACAGAAGCCATTCAAGTTATTTACAGCAGGTAACATTCTGAGAAAAACGAACGCAGACATGCTGCTGTTGCATTCACATAGCTAGTTTTGAACTGCAAATTTCTCATGAAGCCACAGAAATGTTTTCCTCCAACTGCAATTTTACAAAGGATTCCAAAAGACTGGACCCTAGTTTTCATAATGTAAATAAAGCGTGGGAATGTATTGTATCTCTGCATTGAGTGTTATGGTGTCAGAGGACTGAGAACACAAGCTATGCTCATTGCTGCATTCAAAATATGCATTCTGGCTTGGCCAAGCTGTCATATGTGGAAGAAATCTGATTTCTCCCACTGAGCACTGGCTCATTATGTTGCATGCTCCCAAAGGTTAATGTGTGCTTGGTGCATGCTTGGCAGTACAAAGGCAGAAATCATGTTTATGCATAAAAGTTAATGAAAGCATTTAGACAACAAAAGGATATGGCAATATGGCAGAAGGAATCCATACTTAGCTCTCATACCCAATGAAGACCAAATAATTTAACATACTCGCTAATACTCCTAATGTTGCTGATTATCATCATAATTGTTTAAGTGTTGTACAATTTTATTCAATCCTAATCCTGTGTTTCAGGACTGTAAGACTTTTGATTTGCAAACGGTGTACGGATGCACCATGACTTGGTAATGAACTTCAATACCTGTCTTGTGCAAATTTAAATTAGATGTAAATTCTAACTAAATAAAGCACTTTCATAAACCACTGCCATGAGACTTTTTTTCTTTTTTTTTTTTTTTTTTTTTTTTTTTTTTTTTTATACATTTGCATCTGTTTTTAAAAAAATCCTTTCTTGAATCTCACTGCTGCTGATCTTCTGCGGCCTCTACTGTAATTTCTCAGAGCTGCTTTCCAGAAAGTGACAACAATAGACCATGCCTGTGTAAAGTGGGTTGAAACACCACTTTCAATTTCACTCAGAAGCCTGTGTGACAGGGTGACAATGCACAACTAGGAGATAGGGACAGAGCCTTCTTACCATACAACAGAAGTGCCTGAAGAAGGACCTTCCCAACAGGATCACCAAGTATTCTACATATATTTTTTTCAAATTCTTTATTTATGTGCTCCAGATTGATGATCATTTTCAAAGTCAAGAAAGAAAACAACAGCAACAGATACTGTAGTTACATAAAAGGTGGGTGAAGTTACCAGTTTGTGTGCATGTGAATGTAAAACTTTACTTTGAGATTGTAATAAAGAAAGTATGAATTTTACCCCATGACTTCAACATCATGGCCATGGGTTCCATCTCAATGGTGGCGAGGATGACAGCAGGAAAATACAGTCATACGGTAATTAGACAAATTACCTGCACATGCATGGCATTGTATTGTTTACTTTAGCCACTTGCAGTTAGATACCACAGGCCACAATCTGAAAACTTCAGGCTGCAATAAAATGTCAACTCTATGGAACATTCTCTCGTTTCTTTTGATTTACAAGCCCTACCGTGGATCGAACCGCAAAGAAAGAAAAAGATTCAGTTGTTTTCCAATCTTACAAAACAGACTCATGCTCCCCACCCTCTAGCAATTTTTTTCCTTCCCATACCCCCTCATTTTCTGCCTCCTTTAGGCTGCGTTCACACCTAGGCGTATTGAATATGCGCGTTTCGTGGCGCACGTTTTTACCGCGTTTCGCAAGTTTCTGGGGGCTACCTGGCTGTATCCCAATAGATACGCGCGACAAAAACGCCCCAAAGAAGCTCCTGTACTTCTTTGGGCGTAGGCCGTTTTCTAGCGCGTTCATACGGCCTGTAATACGTCCAGGTGTGAACCATACCCATAGGAAATAATGGGATTTCAGTGTTTGAGCGTTTTACAAAACGCCCAGGTGTGAAGCGGGCCTTAATGAGTGTTTTGTACCTGATGCATTTCGTGGTATGGAGGAGAACTGAGCAACATGTTATGTGCGGGGATCACAACTGTATTAATTCTCCTGTATGCCTATGTCAATGATTGCAACACCAAGATTTCTATTCTTGTAATACTCTACTTTTCAAAATAGCACATGAGCAGAAGTAGAAAAAATGCTATAATTTCCCATGCGGGGTAGGGTCGCCATGGTATTGTAGAACTCACATAGGAAAGATTCGGCTCCGGCATTTTTTGGCACCTTTTTTCCAGGGGCATGTTGTAGTGGCCATACCACATGCCTGCACCTACCCCCTACTCTCACCACAGTGCTTGTATCCTCCTGCTCTAAGTACCATGCCTAAGCACCATTCTCCCACCACTGCTCTCACCTGCAGCTGTCCCTTATTCCCCACCCCCAAATACCGCACCTGACCTCAGTTCCCACCCACTCTCTAACCACCATGACTAACCTCCACCCTCTCCCCTAGCCACCCACTAACTCCCCTAATGATTGGACCTGAACCGCACTCCCTCCCCCCCTTACCCACCACGCTGCACGCTCATCCTCACCACTTTCTCTAACTCCTGTGTCTGACCCTCTCCCCAAACCACAGTGCCTGACTCCCGTCCCCATCCTCTCCACTAACCACTGCAACGGCAATTGCCACACCAATCTCATTACCATGCACCCTTTCTCACCACTGTGCCAGCCCCCCCCACCACAGCACCTGACCCCATTCTTACCCCCATTTTCTAACACCCCACACACACACTGTCTACACCTCATCCCACCCACAGCTTCAACAGGATGCCTGCAACCCCCGTTAAAATACAATGTCTGCCTCTCCCTTTCAGGAATGTGCTTGCATGCACACCTGCCATCTCCACACCATCATTGAGCCAAATTCCTCTTTCACTATCGCCATCGCACCTGCCAAAACCAAAATCCCCTGCTAAAATATATAAGAGATATCGGATAAAATGCTTGATTTGTTGCCTAATATGTAAATAAATGCAAACTGTGATGTAATGCTTGCCTTTAAATTGACAGAAAGATGTACATATAAACATGTTATGGCTGAAGAATGACAGCTGATGCTGGGCACTAGACAGTTAGTATGGTAATCTTACAACTATACAGACAACACCTGTCAGTGGTGCAAGCACAAGGATTCAGGTTAGCCGAGCAATG